GCTGATTTTTTTATTTATTGTAGAGATGAGGTCTCGCTGCCCAGGCGGGTCTCGAACCCCAACTTTTTAAAATTAAACTTTGTTTTTGAAATGGGATCTCACTTTGTCACCTAGGCTGGAGTGCAGTGGAACAATCAAAGCTAACTACAGTCTCCAACTCCTGGGCTCAAGTCTCAGCCTCCCAAATAGCTGGGACAGGTGCCACCACTATGCCTGGCTAGTTTTTTTACTTTTTGTAGAGATGAGGGAGTGGATCTCGCTGGTTACCAGGCTGGTCTCAAACTCCCGGCCTCAAGGGATCCTCCCACCTCGGCCTTTCAAAGTGCTGGGATTACAGGCATACATAAGCCACTGCGCCTGGTCACCTCCTCCAACTTTAAAAATTCTATTTTTCCATGGTTTCACATGTCCAAGGTCCTGCACCAGACTGGATAGGGGAGGGAAAGGGATGGGAGAGAAGACTGGCCCCGAACAGCTCCCAGTGGGATCCAGTGGGTGGGGGGGGGGCGGGCCAGGCGGTCAAGGGTGAACCGCTGTCCCGGCTTCCTTGTCCTGGCATCTGTCACACGTGGCCTGCCTCCCCCACCCTGTGGACAGCTGACCTCAACACAACTGAGGGGGCTGCGCCCTCTGCAAACCTCTTGGTAAACAGGGTGACCCATGCAGCCCCGATCAGCTACGGAGACCTTCCTGAGTCACTGTGGTTTGGGGAGAAGGACCCACAAGGCAGGGATGCAAGGAACCGACAGGACAACAAAGGTTCTAGGGTATGCAGAGTGAGGACGGGACAGGGAAGTTGTTCCTCAAATACGGAAGAAGAAACATAAAACCAGCAGAAAGCTCTAGAAGACACAAAGTGTTAAGAGAAGGAGCACATATGGGGAGCCCTCTGGGTGTGCTTTAAGAGGTTGAAGGTAAAAACACAGCCACCCAGGCTCAGTGGCTCAGCAGCTCAGCGGCTCAGCCTGTAAACCCAGCATTTTGGGAGGCCAAGGCGAGTGGATTGCCTGAGCCCGCGGATTCGAGACTCGTCCGGGAAACTTGGCGAGACCTCGTCTCTACAATAAATCAAAAATTAGCCAGGCGTGGTAGTGCATGCCTGTAGTTCTGGCTACTTGGAAGGCTGAGGCAGGGAAGGATCCCGAGTCCCGCAGGTCGACGTTGGGGTGGCTGTGAGCATGCCACTGCACTCCAGCCTGGAAGACGGAGTAAGACTCCAACTCAAAAAACAAAACAAAACAAAAAGCATAGCCACCAGGCCTGGGATCCTCAGTGCCGCCTAGGGTGGCAGTGCTCTGTGGAGATCTTCGGAGAGCCCCAGTCCTTCCAGGCAGTTCCATCCCTGTTGTTTTACAGTCAAATGAAGGCTGGGCGGCAGGGCGAGAATCCAGGAGGGAGCCCAAACCCTTCCAGCCAAGCCATATGCGTGGCCTCTTATTCGAAGAGAACTTGGGGATGCACAGTTCCTCACGAGGACCAGAACTTGTGCACTCGTGTCTAGAGTGAAGGTGGTGGAAAGAAGGATGCTTGAACCTGGGCGTGAGGAGCAGGAGGTGGAGCTCCAGGGGAGAGGAGGAGCAGAGATCTTAACATCCTGTCTAGGTCACCGAGCCGTCATCAGGCAGCAGAGCTGCGGATCCAGCCCCAATGGCAGAGCCTGTGCTGGCTCCTGGTGGAGGGTGTGGGTGAGGGCATGGGATGGGGGCAACCAGAGGAGGCTGAAGGCTGCCCCAGGACCTTCCTGCCACAGTTCAGTCATGCTGAGGTGATTGAGAGGGGAGCAAAGGGGCTGCCAGAACCTCCAGGCCTTGGAGATGGTGCTGGAAAGTTATCTATGCTGTCTCCATAGGAATCACTGGAGGGCTATCTTTTTGGGGGAGGGGAGTGTCCTGGGAGGCTGCTTTATTACCTACACCACTGCTTTATGCAAAGAACCAGCCTCCTCAACCCCTTTAGCCTTCAGCAGGACAGGTAAGAAAGGGTAGGGTGTCTTGTCCTGCTGCCAGGGGACAGTGTAGGTGTGACTGTCCAGGCAGAGATGAGTCACCCTCCATCCTGTCTCGCTGCCCATCCCCACACCTAGTTTTAGCTCAAGTGTGGCCAAGAAGGGGCGATTCCTCACCCAGAACACACGGGCCACAAATACTACCTTTGAAAATGGAAACAAAAATAACCCACTCAAAGGAAGGCAGATCCATCCATCAGACTGTGGCTTCCAGGCTAAGGCAGGAAGACCTCAGTTATTCAACGTTTGGGCCCCATCACGGCCATGGCTTTAAACCCAGTGATCCCACAATACCCTCTCTGCCTTCCCAGACAGAGGTGATACTGCAGGAACAGACAGCCACGCTCCAGGTCTTCTTGTGACGTGCAACGAACAGCCAGGCACCAGCAGGTGCAAGGGATATGACAAAGTCCCCTTGACCCCTGAGGAATCTTTACAGGCTTAGGAATAATAGCAGCCCTCCTGACCCTTGTGTTTCCTTCTTAACCATCTTGGGCTTAGATCAAATCATGGAGTAGCTTTGCAATTCTAACTCATGACACCCAGAAGCAGGGGACTGAGAGAATCCAGGCTGTCGTGAGCAGCCTGGGCAATGTAGCCCCCCCAACCTCACAAAAGAGAAAAGTAATTTTTTTTTTTTTTGAGTTGAGTCTCACTCTGTCGCCCAGACTGGAGTGCAGTGGCCACCCCCGGCCACTGCAGCCTTGCCTGCTGGGCTCCGGTGATCCTTCCGCTTCAGCCTTCCGAGTAGCCAGAATTACAGGCGCGCGCTACTACACCCGGCTGATTTTTTGATTTATTTTTTGATTTATAGAGATGAGTTCTCGCTGCCCAGGTGGGTCTCGAACTTGCGGGCTCAGGCAATCCACTCACCTCAGCCTCCCAAAGGCACGGGATTACAGGCTGAGCCACCGAGCCCGGCAGTAATTTTTATTTTAAGAAAGAAACCAGGCTGGGATCAAACCTTTTCTCTGCTGTTACTCCTAAGCTGTTGCCCCTAAGTCTGCACTTTGCAGAAAAGGACCTACCCAGCTTGGGGCCTCCATGACTGCCAGCTCAGGAGTAAAGCTAGAGGGCAGAAAACAGACCAAACACCAGGGTCCCCCTAACATGCCTGCTCCGGTGAGAGTCACCCAGCAGGGCTAGGGTCAGCTTTCTCCTTTCTGTTCTCTTTTTCTCTTTCTCTTTCTCTCAAATTAAAGTTATACGGATGTATTCAGTGATGCACTATTCAACGATGTTGAGTTTTGTCACTCTGAAAGACTAAGAGGTTTCGACTTTCGTTCAATCTGTTAATGTCTCAGCCTGTGGCCAGGCAACAAGTGATACATCTTTTGAAATTGTGCCTGCCTGACCTTGGATGCCCCTGCAAGTCCAATGTTTATCCGGCTAAAATATCTGAAGTGCTTAATTTACCTGGAGTTTCCATCTGTGCCCGTGGCACATGAAAACAGATTTTGCTCTGGGAGACACATCTGTGATACGTGGGCCAGACCCACTCACCGGACCCAACACGGGTTCCTGTTTTTGTGCAAAGGAGTTTTTCCAAATGAGACTTAGTTTTGTTTCGTTTTGAGACAGGGTCTCACTCTGTCACCCAGGCTGGAGTACAGTGGCACAATCCCAGCTCACTGCAGCCTTGACCTCCTGGGCTCAAGCGATCCTCCCACATCAGCCTTCCAAGTATCTGGGTCTACAAACACATGCCACCACACTTGGCTAACATTTTGTTTTTTTGTAGAGACGAGGTTTCACTATGTGGCCCAGGCTGGTCTCGAACTCCTAGGCTGAAGCAATTCTCCTGCCTCGGCCTCCCCAAGGGCTGGGATTACAGGTGTCAGCCATGATGCCTGCTAGGACTTAGTTTTAAAGGCGAGACCAGGGAATCAGTCCCTGCATCTGAACCCTCCCCAGAGGTCAGTACAATGACAGATTGCCAAGGTTATAGAGGTCTACTGGTTTCTGAGGCGATGACGCAAACACAGATCTTAGTGACCTAGGTACCAGTTCCAGCATAACAGTTATCAGTGATGTATTTACTGCAGGATAGGGCTCTCACTTCTAACATATGTTCTGAAACTCTTGCAAGCGTTTCCTGGCTTCCTCAAGATACTGCTTGTGCAATTTGTTTTGCTCTAAAATCTGCTGCTGAAGGTCATGGGTCATCTGACTCTGCTGGTCGTCATTGGTGAGGCTGGTGCCAGACGGGGAAGTGGTGACCAACTCAGAGCCTCTCTCCCTTTCCTGATCTCTCGAGGGGTAAGAAGACTTCAGATGGGCCAGGAGAGCTCTTCTTTTTTCCCGCCTCTCTTTTTCTAATTCAGCCATGTAGTGGATTTCCAAGCTCATGTTCGGGTGTTCAGGTTGTTCAAGCAATTCCAGCTGTCTCTGCCTTCTCTGCTCTGCTTTGTGCTTCTGCCTCGAAGCCATCAAGCCAACTCTGTCCACCTGTTCTTGTGGGTGATGCGCAAGGGAGCCCTCCACCACCAGTGTGGCAGGTCTAGGGGGTTCTTGCCCAGATTCGGCACTGCACAAGGGCGAGTCCTCTTCATTAGTGAATACTCCTGTCTCGAGAGACGACGTCTGACTTCCATTCCTACTCGTGGGCTTGGCCGTCTGGTGATATCTGTGGCTCTCAACCTTGCTTAGTAACCCCTTCGAACTGGCTCCGGATGCAGTCAGGCAGGCCTCCACCACCGCGGGACTCCCGGACTCCCCAGCAGACATCAGCTCTGTATCTGTTGTTGTCTTCTCTTCTGGGGTCTCATTACCACATTCCCTCATCTCTGAGAAGGCCTGCTCTTCATCCAGGTTCTGGCCCATTCTGGGCCTCAGTTCAAGGTACAAACTCAGATATTTTTTCAGCCTTCTGTTAGTATTGAATAACTCTTGAAAGACAAACTCAAGCTCTTTCTGCCACTTGTTCTTGTTCCTGTCTTTGCCCTGAACTGCCTGGGGCACGGCTCTCTCACTGTGGGTGGAGTCAACAGACCACAGCTGTTCTAGGCTTTTCTGTTTGCCTTCTAGACTCTGGTCCAGGGAGTTGTCTGTCAGGCCTTGAGCAAAACGAACTGCCCCCTTCCCCAGCTGCCTCCTCCCCTCCTGGGCTCCTCCTGTCTCTTTTTCCTCTGGGTTCTTGACCCCCCCTGCAGTGGCGGAGCATGGATTCAGCTTTTGGAGGTCCATCCCTCGGCTCCCCCAAGGGTCAGCGGGACAGTAGCCACCCTTGGTCTTGGTCGAAGGTGCTCGCTTTCCTTTTCTCTTCTCAGGGAAGCTCAGGAGAGGATGCGTCAGAACCCTGGCTTTTGTAGCTGCCGGCTTCCTCTCGGCGCCCACCGCAGTCCTCCCGGGCCTGAAGGGCCAGGACTGCCGTCGGTCCAGCTCCTCCTTGAGACTCTTCTCTTCTCTGAGGGCTCTGTGTTTCTTTTTGGTCCTGGGGGGTCCAGCGGCCCCTCGCTGGGCAGGCACCTCCAAGTCAGGCTCATCTTCCTCTGCCCATCCTCCTCCCCCACCGAAGGGGCATGCCAACGACAGGCTGCCCGGGGCTCTGTGTCGCGGGTGCTGTGTCTCTTGCCACTCCCGCCCCAGCTCCTCAGCCAGGCGCTGGAGCTGGTAGCTTTTCCACAGTTTGGCATTCGCCCTCTGCAGCGCGAGATCTCCGTTTTCTGTGACTTGCAGCAATGCGTGCTTTTGCTTCAAGAGCCAGGCTTTGTCATCAGGACTGGGACTTGGCCAAGCAACTCTATCCACGTTTCCTTTCATTACTGAGAACTCTGCAGACACAACTTCCTGGGGAAGGTGGTTGGAGTCAGGAGCGGAGGGTTCTAGGGGCCCTGGGCCTGGGAAGCCACAGATGCTACGGCTGTTCCGCGGCAAACCTATGAGGCCTGGAGCACACATGCATTTCCCAGAGCCCTCCCAGAAGAGTAAGCCAGCCCCTGGAGACAAGGCACGTGGGATTCTCACTGCAGGGACAGACTACACCGTGCCCCTAGGGATTTCTGACCCATGCCCACCAGGGCCCATTCTCTGTCTCCCGATTTCTGTCCTGCACATCTTTGACAGAAGCCTGCAGGGCAATTTTTTTCAGGGGTTTTGCCTCCCAGGAGACATCTGCCAGTGTCTGGAGACATCTTTTCTTTGTCATAAGTGAAGGGAGGAGGTGCTACTGGCCTGCAGTCGGGGGAGACGAGGGATGCTGCCAAATATCCTCTAATGAGCAGGATGGAGTCCACGATGAAGAATGATCCAGTCCAAAATGCCAACAGTGCTGAGACTGGGAGCCCCACCCTAGGAAGCATGTGTTAGGGTTCAGGTGGGGGGGAGGAGGGGGGGAAGCACACAGATGGCATCAACCTGAACACAAGCCGTAGGAAGAGCGAGGTGGACACCAAAGGGGAAGCCTGACCCTCTAGGGAAGTGACTAAAAACGAAAGGAGGAAGGGGCGGAGTGTGTGTGTGAGGAGTCTGTGTGTGTGCATGCATGTGTGCACAGACATGTGTGCACATGCATCTATGTGTGCATGTGTGTGCATATCTGATTACGTTTGTGTGAACGTGTGTGCCTGTCTGGATATACAGGGATGTGTCCGTGCATCTATGTGTCCAGGTGTGCATCTGTGGGTGTGTGTGTGACCATGCATGCAGATGTGTGCATGCGTGGCTGTCTGGTACTTGAAAGCAACACAAACCAGTCAAAGAGGTGGATAAGCTGCTCCCACTTCTCCTGCCATGATCCTTTCCTTGTGTCATGATCAGAGGAGGACTCTTCCAGGTCTCTCGGGCATCAGGAAGGGATTCATGCTTTGTCAAGCCTCCCAAGGGACGAAGGTGCATTTCCCCCAAAAGAGTGTGGGGTTATGTCTGTTGCCACATTGCAGGGATGCCAGAGACTGCCAGCTCTGAGAGCTGCAGGAACTGCTCAAGGACAGCTGTAGTTGGCATGGAATGCCCCTCAATTGCCCCTTCCTCTCTTTCATTTGCGTCAGTGTGGAGCCAGCCTAACCAATTGCAGCCTAAAGTATCTGCCACGGTCAGAAAAGAACACCGTGTCTGTGTGTCTATATCACACTATCGTTAACCGTGCAGGCTCCCCTCTGAGCACTTGACACGTATTAGCTCATCATTTTTATAGTTACCTGGGAGACGAGGAGCTGTCAGCATCCCTATTCCACAGATGGTGAAACTGAGGCAGAGAGCAATGAAGACATTTGACCTGGACCACACAGCTGGCAAGTGACAAAGGCCCTCTGCTGCTTGGGTAAACCACAGTGCCTTTGGTCAACCTAAGGTGGCCACACTGCAGCCAACTTTGACTTATGTCTTTTAGTGGGAGGTCTTTGCACCTCTTGGAAAATCAGATCACACACTTAGAATAGTGTCTAATATTACGTTTTACCAGTCTTTCAACCACTGTGATGAGCAAGAGGAAGAAATGGCAAACAGGACCTTTAAACACGGTGACTGGGATTTCCTTTTTTTTTTTTTCTTTTCTTTTCTTTTTTTTAAGTTGGAGTCTCACTCTGTCACCCAGACCGGAGCACAGTGGCCGCTCCCAGCCACCACAGCCTCGACCTGCTGGGCTCCGGCGATCCTTCCGCCTTAGCCTTCCAAGTAGCTGGAACTACAGGCGTGCATGACCACGCCCGGCTAATTTTTTGATTTATTGTAGAGATGAGGTCTTGCCAAGTTGCCCTGGTGGGTCTCGAACGCGCGGTCTCAGGCAATCCACTCACTTTGGCCTCCCAAAGCATGGGATTACAGGCTGAGCCACCTAGCCTGGCCTGGGATTTTCAACAAAGGTGCCATGGCAATTTGATGGGGGAGAGAATCATTTTTCACGTTTTAATAAATGGTGCTCACCGGGCTCGAGGGCTCAGCCTGTAATCCCGCGCCTTTGGGAGGCTGAGGTGAGTTGATTGCTTGAACTTGTGGGTTTGAGACCCACCTGGGTAACTTGGCGAGACCTCATCTCTACAATAAATCAAAAAATTAGCCGGGCATGGTAGCGTGCACCTATAGTTCCAGCTACTTGGAAGGCTGAGGTGGAAGGATCACCGGAGCCCAGCAGGTCGAGGCTGCGGCGGCCGGGAGTGGCCACTGCACTCCAGTCTGGGTGACAGAGTGAGACTCCAACTCAAAAATAAATAAATAAATAAATGGTGCTGGGACAGTTGGATGCCACAGGCAAAAAAGGGGGAATTTAGAATCTTACCTCACGCCATATACAAAAATGAACTTACAATGGGTGCTAGACCTTCATGTAAGGAATAAAGCAATAAATGCTTAGAAGGAAGCACAGGTGCAGATTCATGACCTTGGGTCAGGCAAAAATTTCTCAGATACGACACCAAAAGCTCAAACAATACAAGAGGAAATTGATTAATTGGACATCATTAAAATTAAAAACCTTTGTGCTTCAAGAGACACCATTAGTAAAGTGAAAATACAAGGTACAGACAAGAAGGAAGCATTTGCAGATCATATATCCAACAAAAGATTCAAACCCAGAATGTATACACACCTCTTACAACTCAATAAGACAAATAATCCAATTTAAAAATCAACAAAAGATTTAAACAGATATTCACCAAAGAAGATAGATATTCAGCTAATACAGCACATAAAAAGATGTTCAACATCAACAGTCATTAGAGAGACCATTTCACACCCACCAGATGGTTAGAATAAAAAAGACAGACAATAACAAGCGTTGCTGAGGAAGTAGAGATATTGGAACCTTCATACACATCTGGTGAGAATGGAAAATGGTACAGCTTCTTTGGAAAGTGGTCTGACAGTTTTTTAAAAAGGGGAACACAGACTTACCATATGACCTAGTAATTCTGCTCCTAGGTCTATACTCAAGATAGATGAAAACATGGGTCCACAAAAAGAAACAAAAGCTTGGAGAGGCTGAATAACTTTCCCCGCTCACAAGGAAGAGCTGGGCTTGAATCTGGGTCTCAGATGCCAAAGATCACTGGGAATGCCCACAGAGGAGTCCGGTTGGTGGGGGAGAGGTCTGGGCTGCTGTGAATGTGTCTGTTTTGGAAGGTACCTGGAGAGAATGGGTTGAGTCATGCCCCAAAGTCTAGAGGCTATTTCTGTGCCCAGACACCAGGTCACACCCTTTAAAACACACATATTATATATATATATATTTTTTTTTTTTTCTTCCCCCCAGGCTGGTCTCAAACCCCCAACCTCAAGCAGTCCTCCCCACTTGGCCTCCCAAAGTACTGGGATTACAGGCATGAGCACCATGCCAGGCCATCACAGCCCATCACAGCCCTTACTAACAGGCAATGATTAAGATCTAAACAAGCCTCCTCTGCTCTGGAAGCGCTCCCAGCTCATTCAACGACCCCACTGTACCCTGTGCCAGGCCCACTGGGGTGGGCACCCCAATGCTACAGAGTCAGTTTTCCTGGAGATATGCAAATCCATAAAAACTTAAAACATCTGGCAGAGATCTTTAGGAAAAAGACCAGAAAACTACAGTCAGCTCCAGAACTGAGGAACAGACACCCCTGTCACCATGAGATGCATCCTTGCCCTCTGCCACCCCCAGGGCTCCCTGCTCTCCCCTCTAAGCCCTTCCTTACTTGCTAACTGGAAGCCAGAGGGAATAGTGTCCCTTGGATGCAAGCGCTGGCAGGGAAGCAACAGAAGCCTTAGCTGGGTCTGAGATGACTAGGGATAAACACCTTTTCACCTGCTGGCAGCCTGTTGGGACGTCTGCCTCTGCCTGTGCCATCTGGCCTACCCTCCAGGAGGCCCAGGTTCTCTCCAGCCCCACAAGACAGGCTACTGGCACCCTTGGCAGGACACTTGCCAAGGAAGAGAGTTGTAATTCCGATAGGGTTCCTCACTACAGGACCCCTCTCCCGAGACACCTGCCCTCTTTTTTTTTGAGTTGAAGGCTCACTCTGTTGCCCAGGCTGGAGTGCAGTGGCACAATCATGGCTCACTGCAGCCTCGAACTCCTGGGCTCAGGTGATCCTCCTGCCTCAGCCTCCAGAGTAGCTGGGACTACAGGCATGTGCCACCACACACAGCTAATATCTTGAGACAGGGTCTTCCTATGTTGCCTAGGCTGGTCTCAAACTCCTGGGCTCAAGCAATTCCCTCGCCTTGGCTTCCCAAAGTGCTGGGATTACAAGCGTGAGCCACCACACCTAGCCAACCCTCTTTTTGCTTCTCAGAATATTCTGGACTGAACATGGGTCCCAGTGCACCTCTGCCCCTCTCACGCCCCTCACATCCTTGTGCAGTGTTTGAGCATCTTGGGGTTGTCTCTCTGGTATTCTCTGTCCCCCAAAGCTGACAGGCTGCCTTCTGCCGGCTGCCTTCAACCACTTGGGGAAACCACAGCCCCCTTCCCTATAGAAGCGGCACTCAGAGCAGCAGACAGAAGACGAGTGGATACCCATCTGGCCTCTGGACAGCACCAGAGCCTCCCACAGAGCGGAGTGGACACTGGGCCCATTCTTCCCTCTCACTTTCTGCAGCCCTGTGGCCCCAGTGCGGGGAGCCAGCTTGTGGCAGCCTCACCCCAGACTGAGCCTATCCCAGCCTCTGCGGCGACAGACTCAGGAATGTGCTCAGTTTCCTAGCTCCCTGGCAATGCTCACCAAAGTCAGGCAATCTCTGGCCCACAGGCTCAAGAATGTTCAAGCATCTCTTCCGCTGGCTCCCCTCCCACCCCAGCTGGGAGCACTGCACGAGCGCTGGCCAGGATCCTGGCCATCCCCAAACATCCCACACCAGGCCCAGCGGGCCTTGACTGTGCTCATGCAGGTTCCTAGTGGCATGGACACCTCCCCTCCATATCCCACCCTTACGTTCTAGGTCCGGCTCCCCCTTCCCCTGGAAGCCCTGACCTCCAAGGCAACAAAGAGAATGCTCTTCCCTTTTTCCAAAAGCCCAGTGCCTGGACCACACGGTTAAGCACTTTCGCTTTGAAAACATAAAAATAGCTATAGAAGGGCCCCCATTAGGTAGCATTGGCCAGAGAGATCATTCCATATAATTAAAGCTTACTCTTCCATACGTAAAGTCAGACATCCTTTTGTCTTCTGAGAGTACAGAGACTATATAATTTGACCCTATTTTTTTTTTTAAACCAATAACTTTGGGATGATAATAAAGGAAATCCCTCAAGGGTTTTTAAAATGTGCACAACAGCCGGGTGTGGTAGTTCACACCTGTAATCCCAGCACTTTGGGAAGTGGAGGCAAGAGGACTGCCTGAGCCCAGGGGTTTGAGACCAGCCTGGGCAACTTGGCGAGAACTTGTTTTCACAATAAATAAAAAAAATTAGCCTGGTGTGGTAGCATGTGCCTGTAATCCCAGCTACTTGGGAGCCTGAGGCAGAAGGATCACTTAAGCCCAGCAGGTCAAGGCTGTGGTGGCCGTGAGTGTACCACTGCACTCCAGCCTGGATGACAGAGTGAGACTCCAACTCAAAAAAATAAAATAAAATAAAATAAAATAAAATGTATACAACAGAGTTCTCCAAAACTAAGTGAACTCAGAATGCAATTTGGTTTTTGGGGTTTTTTGAGTTGGAGTCACTCTGTTGCTGGGCTGGAGTACAGTGGCACACTTACGGCCACCCCAGTGTTGATCTTCTGGGCTCTGGCCATCCTTCCCCCTCAGTCTTCCAAGTAGCCAGAACTACAGGCATGCACTACCATGGCTGGCTAATTTTTGATTTATTGTAGAAATGAGTTCTCACCAAGTTGCCCGGACTGGTCTCAAACCCATAGGCTCAGGCAGTCCTCTCACCTCAGCCTCCCAAAGTGCTGGGATTATAGGCTGAGCCACTGAGCTCAGGCTTTTTTGTTTTTAGTAAGGGTCTCACCCTGTCAGCCAGGTTAGAGTGCAGTGGCACAATCATGGCTCACCCTATTCCTCAGCCTCCTAGGTGCAGGTGATCCTCCCACCTCAGCTTCTCAAGTAGCTGGGACTACAGGCACACCCCACCATGCCTGGATACTTTTTTTTTTTTTTTTGTACAGACACGGTCTCACTGTGTTGCCTAAACTGGTCTCAAATCCCAGGGCTCAAGTGGTCCTCCTGCCTTGGCCTCCCAAAGTGCTGGGATTACAGGCATGAGCCACTGCACTTGGCCAAGCACATGAGATTTTTAACGGCTCACATATCTGACAAAATCTAACAAGATAAAATGTAATAGGAACATATCTAAACCTCATAGATGGGTCTCCCAAATCCAAACGTACAAAGTAGGAGCTATAAACACATTGGGGATTAAAAAAGAGAGGCAGGGAGAATACAGCAACGCAGGCGATGAAAGTGCTTCAGACACACGGCCACCAGAAGAGTGAATGTGATCATCAACGTGCTAACAGACAAGCCTATGACAAGAGCGGTCATGGCCCAGCTGAGCTCTGCACGGTCAGACCTCACCTGGAAGTTCCGGGACCCAGAAGGAAAGAGGTGCCCAAGGTGCCGGGGATTCCCCGTGTACCGCCCAACATCCGGGGGCATCCGCCCTGTTCCTACCCTACAGGACACCATAGCATCAGGCAAGATGGCCCGGATGGAGCACCGAGAATGGAGCCTGGCTCACAGGAAGGCTTTGTAAACATCCAGGGCTCGGCAGAGACGTACAGACAATGGTCGATTCTACACGCAAGGAGCTCGTGGGCAGACGTGGGTCTAAAAGATGCCGAAAAGCTAAGATGTGTCTGTGCTCTTGAAACGTCCAGCTGGACAGTGTCACGGGACAGATGTTTCAAAGATCACAATAAATCTTGCAATGATTAGGAGGCAACCTAACAAGGAAGAGACACGGCTTGAAAAAGCAGCACAGCTTGACTGAAGAGCGAGGAGAAAATCTGAGTGGGGGAGAGATGTGTCTTCCCAGAGAGCCCCCAGAAGAGAAGGAGCTGGTAAGGATGGGAAGTAAGAGCTGTACTCTCAGTTCAGGAGGAGGAAAAACCATAGGTTATAGGAAGGAAAGTCTAGGAGGTGGTGTGGGGCAGGAGTGTTTACAAAGGATAGAAAAATCTAGAAAAGCAGGGTGTGGTGGTTAAGAGTACTGCTACTTGTGTGATTTAGGGCAAGCCTCTTAACTCTGGGTGCCTCAGTTTGTTCATCTGTGAAATGGGGATGTTAATGACAGTAACACCATGTATAGAGATGCTAGTGCTTATCACCGTAAGCAGCACCCAAATGCTTGGTGGGCTATTTGGGGAAGCAGGGAGGTACTTACTGTGCGTGTCTCCAGATGACTGAGCTAGACCACCAAGTACACATTACAGGGAGGCAGAGGCTGGCCGGGTAGAAGGAAGCACTTTCTACAGGGCTGTCTTGAAATCATTGGACTGACTTGATAGATGGTGAGACACCCATCACTGGAGGCATCCAAGCCAATCCCAGATAAAACAGACATCAAAATCATTTACAACTCCATTTCTCCAAGTTCTGTCCTCTAAAAATACACTCCGTGAACCCCAGTGTGCCACCCAGAACCTCGGTTTTTGCCCCCTTCCTGTCAGATCAGCCCCCAAAGCCACTGGATTAGGTACTGGACTGGCTGTGTCAGGGTCACCTGGGACAGGGGTGGCTCATGGTAGAGTAGGAGTCCTGGCTGGCTCACGCAGGCTTTTGTGCTTGAATCCTGGGGTGGGGCTTGTGAGTTTGTGTTTCCCCATCTCTGGGATGCACAGCCAGGATGATGGCTCTAGAAGGCTGAGATGGCAGGCAGCTGGCCTTTGGAGAACACGCTCGGGCTCCTGGTGTCTCCTCCACCAGCCTCACAAGCACAGACACTGAGGCAGAGTGATCTCCACTCTTACGACCGAGATGCCAGCTACTGAGGGTCGCTTATGGCAGATCCAACTGGCAGCTTACTAAACTTATCTTGACAATGTCGATCATCCAATTTCATGCAAACTTTAAGATTCCAAGGACCCAACCGAGGTCAGGGTCCCCAACACCAGCAGCTGTTCTTCCTTTAAGATGATACCTTCCACTCCCCCAGACAACCATATTCATCTCCAACCCAGTGCCCCTGGCTTCCCCCGCCCATCCTTGTGCATCAAACCATCTAGGGGGAGCCCCTGGTGTGGACTTTCACATTGGCCATCTAGGTGTGTGGCCAGCAGTCCCTCATCAGCCCACTTCCCAAGGCCCTCTAGGGAGCCTCACCAAACAGCTGGGCAAAGAAAGAACCCCATCCTCCCAACAGATGGGGGCAGACCCAACAAGAACCTCACTGGGGTGGTCCGCAAGGGTCTGGGGGGCCCACTGACCACGGGTGGCTGGAATCACCGCTCCCCACCTCCACCTGCAGCCCAGCCTCTGCCCTGGGTGGTTTACCATGGCAGGCTGTTGCCATGGGAACAGCAGAGCTGTTGGGCTGTGACATCATGGCAGGGGTGAGGTCAGGGACAGCTGCAAGCCAGCCAGAGGGCAAGTGCATGAGTCAGGGACCAATCACAAAAATTTGGCTCCAACAGCTGGGGTGATGTACAAAGAGGGCGGGTGTCGTGGGGGCATTTGAAGGTGCCCGTTTAAGGAGGTGTCCGTGAAGGAAGGCCGCATGATGTGCAAATGCTCACGGCCACACAGCACACAGGCCATCCTTCTCTCTCCTGCCGGAAGCACGGAGACCTCTCTGGGGTGTTGTTCTTCTCTCTGAGCTGCCAGGCCATTAAAGGGGCACACCCCAAGGTCAGGGCTTCCCGGCAATGATTGCCACCCCTTTTCCTGCAGGGAGAGCATCTGTTCCTACCTCCAGCCTTAGGATGCCATTATTGAGCCGAAAACCCACGAGAGGCAGGGGTAGTAAGAATCTAGGCTGGTTCCCTCTGTTACCCACCTACCCAAACAGTGTGAGAAATGGGACATACTTCTAGAGCTAGCAGCACCCTCTACAATTTTTTTTTTTTTTTTGGAGATGGGGTCTTGCTATGCTGCACAGGCTGGTCTTAAACTCCTGGGCTCAAATAATCCTTCCGTCTCAGCCTCCCAAGTAACTGGGATTATAGGCACACACCACCATGCCCAGGATACAAATCTGAAAGCAAATTAGCTGGGGGAATAGAATTCAGATCCCAAGAGTCAAAGCAACCAATTCTCAGGGCTTTGTTTCTTTTTTCTTTTTTTCTTTTTTCTTTTTTTGAGTTGTCACCCAGGCTGGAGTACAGTGGTAAACTCATGGCCGCAGCCTCAATCTGCTGGGTTTAGGTGATCCTTCCGCCTCAGCCTACCAAGTAGCTGGAACTACAGATGCAAACCACCACGCCCAGCTAGTTTTTGTGATTTATCCTAGAGACGAGGTCTTGCCAAGTTGCCCAGGCTGGTCTCGAGCCCCCAGGCTCAGACAGTACTCTCGCCTTGGCCTCCCAAAGTGCTGGGATTACAGGCTGAGCCACCACGCCCAGCCAAGGTTTTGTTTCTTTTTCTTTTTTTAGTTGGAGTCTCACTCTGCTGTCCAGACTGGAGTGCAGTGGCCACTCCCGGCCACCGCAGCCTCGACCTGCTGGGCTCCAGCAATCCTTCTGCCTCAGCCTTCCAGGTAGCTGGAACTACAGGCGCACGCTACCACGCCCAGCTAATTTTTGATTTACTGTAGAGATGAGGTCTCGTCAAGTTGCCCAGGTGGGTCTCGAAACCGCGGGCTCAGGCAATCCACTCACCTCAGCCTCCCAAAGTGTGGGATTACAGGCTGAGCCACCGAGCCTGGCTAGGTTTTGTTTCTTAAGAGGAGAAAGTAAACAGCAGGAATTTGGCTGAGGCATGAGACCTTAAGACTCAGGAGAGCTGAACCTGAGATACAAGCCTTTGTCTGGAGCTGGAAGGGTCCTGGAGAGGTCCGCTGGTCCCTGACTCAAGGAAGAGCAGGAATTCTCCCTACTGGAATGTTCCCAACCACATTCCACTTCCCACCCGCCACCTCCATTTTTTGTTCCTTTTTTGAGCCCCTGTGATGGGTAAACGTATATATCCACTTGACTGGGCTAAGAGATGCCCAGATAGCTGGTAACACACTATTTCTAGCTGGGTCTGTATATATCTCTGGAAGAGATTAGCATATGAATCATAGTCTTAGTAAAGTAAATACACCCTCATCTAGGCAGACTGGATAGAACAAGAAAGCAGAGGAGGAGCAAATTTGCTCTTTGCTTGAGCTGGGACATCCATCTCCTGCCTTCGGACATCAGAGCCTCTGGTTCTCAAGTCTTTGGACTCCAGGACTTTTACCAGTGGCCACCCCAGTTCTCAGGTCTTTGGACTCAGACTGAATCACACACCACCAGCTTCCCGGATTCTCCAGCTTCCAAAGGCCAGATCATGGGACGTCTCTGTCTTACAAAACAAATGACCAATTCCCATAATCAATCCCATCTGGTATATTTCTATATATTGGTTCTGTTTCTCTGGCGAACCCTCATACTGCCCTAAGGATGCAAAGTCTTGTATCTACTTCTTCTTCCCCAGGGAATAGCTCCCAAATCCTTTATCCTCTCAGCATTGTCTTGACACCCACCCTAAAGCAAGTGGAAGAGTCTAGTAAGGAGGAAATAACATGGCAGCTCACTACAGCCCTTGACAGACCTTTCAGAATGTCAAGCACTGTTCTCACTATAATCTTCTCTAGGACTTTTCTGGACTGAGTACATTTCTCCCGTAACCAGGATCTCCTGACACTTCCTAGACAAGCCCTACAAAGCAGCTCCCATCCTCTGGATTAATTCACTCTGCTAAGCAATTCCTCCTACATGGAATTCACCATTGGCATAAGGCCAATCCAGCCTGAGGTCAGCATCCTTACTATAGTTGACTGCAATTAGACCCACACTTTAGCAAATGCTAATTTTAATAATTACAGGTCAGGCGTGGTGGCTTACACCTATAATCCCAGCCCTTTGGGAGGTTAAGGTGAGAGGATTGCCTGAGCCCACGGGTTCAAGACCAGCCTGGACAACTTGGCAAGACCGCATCTTTACAATAAAATCAAAAAATTAGATGGGCATTATGGTGCATGACTGTAGTTCCAGCTACTTGGAAGGCTGAGGTGGAAGGATCACCTGAGCCCAGCAGGTCGAGGCTGCAGTGGCTGTGAGCATGCCACTATACTCTAGCCTGGGCGACAGAGGGAGACTCCAACACAAGAAAAAATAATAATAATTACATATATAAGCACACCTCAGAGATACTATGGGTTGATTCCAGACCATCATAATGAGTTGATATCATAATAAAGCAAGTCACACAATATTTTGGCTTCCCAGTGCATATATGTTATGTTTATACTATATTGTAGCCTAAGTGTGTAGCTTAAATGTGCAATAACATTACGTGTAAGAAAAGCCATGTACATACCTTAATTTTAAAATAGTTTATTGCTAAAAAAAAATGCTAATACCCATCTGAGCCTTAGCAAGTCATAATCTATTTTGTTGGTGGAGGGTCTTATCTTGGTGTGGTTGGCTGCTGACTGGTCAGGGTGGTGGCTGTTGAAGGTTGGGATGGCTGTAGCAATTTTTAAGACAATAAAGTTTGCTGCATTGATCGACTCTTTCTTTCATGACAGTTTCTCTACAGCATGCAATGCTGTTTGATAACATTCTACACATATAACTTTCAAAATTGGAGTCCATCCTCCCAAGCCTACTGTTGCTCAATCAAAGTTTATAGAATATTCTAAATCCTTTGTTGTCATTTCAACAGTGTTCACAGCATCTTCACCAGGAGTAGATTCCATCTCAGAAAACCACTTTCTTTGCTCAGCCGTAAGAAGCAACTCTCCATCTGTTAAAGTTTTACCATGAGATTGCAGCAGTTCAGTCACACCTTCAGGCTCCGCTTCTAATTCTAGTTCTCTTGCTATTTCCACCTCATCTGCAGTGACTTCCTCCATGGATGTCTTGAACCCCTCAAAGTCACCTATGAGGGTTGAAATGAACTTCTTCCAAATTCTTATTCATATTGGCAATGCAACCTCCTCTCATGAATCAGAAATGTCCTCAATGCCATCTAGAATCATAAATCCTCCCCAGGTTTTCAATCTACTCTGCCCAGATCCAGCATAGGAACCACTATTTATGGTAGCTATAGCCTTACAAAATGTATTTCTTAAAGAATAAGACTTGAATGTCAAAATTACTCTTGATCCATGGGCTGCAGAATAGATGTTGTGTTAGCAAGCATGAAAACAACATGCATCTCCTTGTACACTTCCATCAGAGCTCTTGGGTGACCAGGTGCATTGTCAATGAGCAGTAATATTTTGAAAAAAACCTTTTTTCCCCCTGAGCAGTAGGTCTCAATAGTGGGCTTAAAATATTCATCAAATTATGCTATAAACAGATGTGTTATTATCAGGTCTTATTTTTACATTTCTAGAGCACAGGCAGAGCAGGTTTTACATAATTCTTAAGGGCCCTGGGATTTCCAAAATGGCTAAAGGAGCACTAGCTTCAACTTAAAGTCACAGCTGACTCTAACAAGAGAATCATCTTGTCCTTTGAAGCTCGGAAATCAGGCACTGACTTCTCTTTAGCTATGAAAGTCCTAGATGGCATCATCTTCCAATACAGGCATTTTGTCTACGTGGAAAATCTGTTGTTTAGTGTGGCCACCTTCATCAGTGATCTGGAGAACTTGCTGCAGCTTCTCCATCAGCGCTTGCACTCTTATGTGACGGAGACGGCTTCTCTCCTTAAACCTCACAAACCAACCTCTGCTAACTTCCAACTTTTCTCCTGCAACTCTTCTCCTCTCTCAGCCTTCATGGAACTGAGGAGAAACAGGTCTTTGCTCTGGATGAGACTCTGGCCTAAGAGAATGTTGTTATAGCTGGTTTGCTCTTCCATCCGGATCATGAAAACAAACTTTCTCCTTATTGGCAAGAAGACTGTTTTGCTTTCTTACCATTTGCACGTTCACTGGAGTAGCACTTTTAATCTCTCCCTTAAGAACCTTCCTTTGCATTCACAGCTTGGCTAACTATTTGGCATGAGAGGCCTTGCTTTCCGCTATCTTGGCTTCGATGTGCCTTTCTCACTAAGCTTTTAATGATTTTGATTTCAAGTGAGAGATGTTCAGCTCTTTCTTTCGCTTGAACACTTGGAGGCCACTGTAGGGTTATTAATTGGCCTAAATTCAATATTACTGTGTCTCAGGGAATAGGGAGGCCCAGAAAAAGGGAGAGAGAGACAGAGGAATGGCCAGAGTCGGCAGCTAGAACACACACTACATTTATCAATTAAATCCACTGTCTTATATGGGAGCAGTTCGTGGCACCCCAAATCAATGACAACGGTCACATCAAAAGATCACCAATCACAGATCACCGTAACAGATATAACGAAAACATTTGAAATACTGTG